CAGGTGGCGGTCGAATATGAGTCCAAGGAATTTGGCCTCTTCTACTACTTTGATGGGAGTACCATCTAAAGTTAGGTCTGATCCTTGTGTGGTTTGTATTTACGACAAAAGTGAATACAATTCGTTTTGGATTTTGAAAACTTAAAACCATTTTCATTGGCCCATTTTTGGATTTTGTTAAGGCAGAGTTGTAGCTGCCTTTCTATTGCGTGCATGTTCTTACCACGACATGAAATATTGAAGTCATCCACGAAAAGGGACCCATCAACGCAACTGTTCAGAACGTTAGTGAGGCTGTTAATTTTGATGCTAAAAAGTGTGACAGACAGGATGCTGCCTTGGGGGACGCCCTGATCTTGGTGGAAGTAGTCAGACAGTGAGGAACCCACCCGAACTTGGAATTGTCTGTTATTTAGAAACCGAGATATGAATTGAGGTAGTCTACCCCTCAATCCAAACTCGTGTAAATCTTTTAGGATACCATGTTTCCATGTTGTATCATATGCTTTTTCTAAGTCGAAAAAGATAGATACTGCATGTTGTTTGTTGACAATGGAGTTTTTGATGAATGCTTCCAGACGCACCAGATGGTCAATGGTACTTCGGTTTTTCGGAAACCACATTGAGATCACTGAGGAGGTTATTGGTCCCAAGTACCAGATTAATCGATTGTTGACCATGCGCTCCATGGTTTTGCAAACGCAGCTAGTTAGTGATATAGGACGGTAGTTTGAGGGATCAGTATGGTCGCGACCGGGTTTTGGTATAGGGATGATGATGGCATTGTGCCACGAAGGGGGGAAGTGTCCGGATGTCCAGATGTCATCAAATATATTTAGGAGTGTTTCCAAGCCTATGTCAGGGAGGTGTTTCAGAAGCTGATAATGGATTTCATCAGCTCCTGCCGCAGTGTCGTGAGCCTGTCCTAGGGCAGTACGTAATTCATGGAGGGAAAACGTTTCGTTGTAATCTTCCCCATTATCAGAGTTAAAATTGACTGGTTTCTTTTCTTGTTTGGTTTGATATTTCTGGAACTGAGGGTTATAATTTGATGAGGAGGAGTGGTTTGCCAAAGTTTCGCCAAGTTTGTTTGCAATTTCAGATTTATTTGTTAGTAGGGAGTCGCCATCTTTCAGGTGGTGAACACCTGATTTTGACCCTTTGCCCTTGATCTTTGAATCATGTTCCACACCTTGGACATGGGTGTGCGGAGTTGATTTTTGACACATATTTCCTCCATGAGCGGCGTTTAGTTTGTTTGAAGGTACGTTTTGCCCTGGCATTTGTCATTTTAACAGCATTCAGGTTATGCACTGTAGGATGTTGTCGGAAATATTTTTCCGCCTTCTTTCTATTTTTCCTAGCTTGTTTGCAGTTTGTATCAAACCATGGTTTGCGTATGTGCGGGTTTGCAGAGGACTTGGGAATACTTTTGTCTCCGATGGCATTTAGGACGTCTGAAAATAGTTCCATGGGGTCAGGAACATTCCTGAAGTTGTCTGGCTTAAGTTTTTCTGAACATAGGGTTTGGAATAAAGGCCAGTTGGCCTTAGTAAAATTCCATCTTGTTGATGGTGGTTCATCCGTGGGGTTGATAGGAGTAAGAATTGTTGGGAAGTGGTCGCTTCCACAAAGGTCGTCATGGACCGACCATTCGAACTCATTTAAAAGATTAGAATCTGTAAGTGATAGATCGAGAGCAGAGTATGATCCAGTGGCAGGATGGAGGTAGGTGTTTGATCCATCGTTGAAGATGCATACATCATTATTGAGAGAAACTCTTCAAGGATCTTTCCCTTACTATTTGTATCATTACTCCCCATAGGGGTTATGGCTGCTGAAGTCGCCCATGATTATGCAGGGCTTTGGGAGTTGATCGTATAAGTTCTGAAGATCTGATAGGCGGACAGTTGAGGTGGGGGGAGATAGAGGGAACATAGTGTAAACCCTATGTTCAGAGTTATGCGGACAGCAACAGTTTGTAGGTTGGTGTTAAGTGGAACAGGGCTATGGAGGATGCCCTGCCTCACCAGGATAGAAGTGCCTCCTGTAGCTTTTACACCGGGAGGAGAAAAGGAGTGGTAGGAACTGTACCGACGGATGTCAAATTTATCGGTCCTTTTTAGGTAGGTTTCTTGGAGACAAAACGCAGATGGTTTGAAGTCTTGAATCAATAGCTGTAATTCATTATAATTATTCTTAAGTCCTCTGCAATTCCATTGGATAATGTTTTGTGGGTTCATGGTGCTTCCACTGGTGACATGTCACGTGAACGTGAGGAAGCGTTTGATGAACTCCTATTTGTGTCTGGTGGAGATGGAGTTACCTCCATATCCAGAGGGCCAAAGGAGTTATGGACCTCGATGGGGACCTCTGAGGGAGAGGTGGCCTTTGTTTTGTGTGTTTGGCGGTTGTTCGAGCTGCTTTAGTCTCTCTAGCCTCTTTTTCCTTTTTCTGCGCGCAGTTTCTGTCTCTGGTTTTGGCATTTGCTCTGGTGTTTGTGATTCAGAGGTTTTGACTTTTGGCGTTGGAGATGGAGTTGCTGAGATAGGCTGAGTTGTGTTGAGTTCAGTTGGCTGAGAAGACGTGACCCATGTCAGGTCGGTCTGACATGAGATGGTTGCAGTAGTGATGGTAGGACGGGAGACAGCAGCAGAGTAGGTGATGGTTGAAGGGGCTGCAGTTAGACTTGCAACCCTCTTCTTGCTTCGTGAAAGGAGATGTTTTCTTTGTGTTTAATCTTCAGTATCTCGGATTCGCGTTTCCATACTGGGCAGAACTTGAAGAGGCCATATGGTTACCACCGCAGTTTGAGCACTTCACTTCCTTAGTACAGTCGTTGCCCTCATGCTTGTCACCACAGCGGTAACAGACAGCAGAGGAACGACAGGACTTGGATCCATGTCCAAACTTTTGGCAGTTGTAGCACCGGAGTGGATTGGGGACATACACCTCCACACCAATGCTACAATAACCAGCTCTAATCGAGTCAGGAATGTTTGCTCGCGCGAACGTGAAGAGATAGGTGTTCGTTGGTTGAACAACACCATCCTTTTGAAGGTAAATCGTTTGACGGCTGTGACGGATTGCTGAGAGAGTTCCTTGACAATTTGTTCTTCAGTCATGTCAGACAGGCATCGAGCCTGTCCCGTACAATGCCTCTACACGAATTAAGGGTTTTGTGTGCTGAGACAGCGACCTTGATATTTACAAATTCTTGTATTTTGAGAAGATTTAAAGATTGGTGTTTCCGGGTACATTCTATCAGGAGAGAGCCAGATCGGAGCTTTGTGACATTGGCAACCTCCGCAGATACCAGCGATACCTTTGGAGATTGCAAAAGGGTTCAATTGCAAAGGTTGCTTGTCGCAAGCCTCAATAATCAGGAAGCGTGGCCAGTAGTCAGGTCGGGGGGCGTACTCTCGTCAGACGAGGAATTGTCGGTATCCATATGTCTTCGTTTTGAACCGGGGTATTGGGAAGCCATGTCGTGGGTAATGTGGTTCGGCATCCCTCTCCCCACCCACCGTGGAGTGTCAACAAGGACGATCTTATATTGCAGCGGATCTCCGCTGCAAAGACCAGGGATAAGGGGATGTTATACTCCAGCGAATTTGACATGAAATGCTGTAGCTGCCTACCAGATTAAAGGTCAGGATGGTTCTGTCCATGACAATCAATTGGAGACGTACAGAAATCGGAGGTCAGCATCACCAGATTGGCCCATGAGCCACCGCCTTCTGTGCATGGGTCTGCGAGGCTAATTTGTTTCGTAGAATAGTTGTTAACATTTTGAACATGGTCAAAAGTGTTATGTAATACCACGTTTTGTATAGACATTCCATGCACAGGGCAAGGCGTGACCAGCCGATTGGTAGAATCGGGCCTATTCTACCACCCGTCTAGGCAAAGTTAGGGTCGAAGTGGTGTGTTGGATTAGTGAACACTATTGCCGGTTCCGTCATCCTCAACCACCAGACTCCCTTCCTCTGCCGACACAGGGATGCAACCCACGGCAAACGGGTTGCCCAATTTGGTCGCCTCTCTACGACCAGCAATGGGGTGCTGTGGACCTATTCGACCCACGGTCCACACAGGGGTGAAGAGCCATTGGCACCTTACCCAGCACCCACCACGGGAGGTTGCTTCCACTATGTTCGCAAGAAGAAGAAGACAAGCAAAAGAGCATGAGTCAGATAAGGGAAAATATAAGACAAATATTGATTAAATTGCAAATTTGATAAACCACTCCAATAAATACAACGTGAGTTGGAAGAACATGGCTTAATGCACGATGGGCATTGGGGGTGAGGATCAGCCACAGATAGCCGGTGCCTGCAAACAATGAAATGTAAATAAGTTACATTACGATGAAAATGTGCCACAAATTACAATAATTTCTTCATATTTTATACACTTAATACATGATAGTTATAGCTAAATACCATATATAGCGTAATTTTGATAAATAGGATCTAAATATAAAGGATATATGCAGTATACAGGACTTCAGTGTTCACCCAATCGCTTCGGAGAGTGACTAGTTAGGCTGGTCACATGACAATTTGCGCGGGAAAAGGGAGGTAGCTCGTGGGTCAGTGTACTTTTACGTCCGCTTCGGGCACTACAAAGGATTCAAGTGTTCCACTACCATTCGCAATGGAAAGGGAGATAAGCAAAAGATCATGAGTCAGGATAAGGAAAAATAATTAAATAACACTTTCTCTTAAGTCTAGTTTCACTTTTGAATGCTGATTAAATGCTCTGAAATGCAAGGACATTTCAAAATTGTATGGTGGGTGGTGTGGCGATAGTGTGTGCGTGTGCGTGCATGTGCGTGTGCGTGCGTGTGCGTGTATGTGCAGTGAGACCCCATACAGACCTCGCCACTTTGTGGCTCGGGCATGCAACTGCAATGCATCCACACGCACGCACCATTCCAGGGCTTATGCGTTTTAGGGACGCAGAACCTTTCTCCTTCCCCGAACACTGGTACTTACGCATTCTGTGTGTCTGTTGAACCTGTGCAGATAACAAAGACACTGTCATGCCAAACTTGTCAGTGCAATTTTGGTAATTTCTCTATCAAGGAACAAGTTAACACATGAACCCTGTTTACATGTTTGTTCTCGTGTCCCAGTAAGTTGCTGCATTATACTGTACCCTAAATTTTGACAAACTTGTGATGAGGCAACATGCCTTCATTAATACATTTGAAAATACATTGTTTGTGTTGTCATGCAAGACTGTGTTTTTTTGCATACAGTACACCTACCTGGTTTCTGCAATATGCATCTGTATCTTTTCCTGGCCATGACGACAACGATGACCACAATGCCAACGACCAATATCACACCGACTGTCACTCCAGCTATTAATCCAGCGTGTGAAGGGGCTGCAGGGGCTTAAACAGAAATATCCCAGGTATAAACAATGCCACAACACATTGCCACAAGGAACACAGAATGAGATCCAGTTAAGTAAAACAAACACAGTGGTCAGAAATATATGCAAGGAGTTTGGGAGATCGGTCATAACACCAGGTGTTCATGAAAAGGTTGGCATGTTCTGCTCTACACTTAGCACCCTCCACTTACAGAATGTATATCTCGAATATGTTGTCTTTCAGTAATTTTAGAATGTGTCTATACACCTATAAGAAAAGCTGATTACTGTTAAATTGTTTCTCAAAAGTTTCCAAATTTGGAAATGTTTCAGCGTTGTCATTGTTTAACATTGATTTGCACGATCTATCACTTATATTTTCATAACGATTACAAGTATATAGAAGAGAGCGATGCCATGTCTCTTTGAAGTGACTTGAAGTAGTATTTATATGTCCTTCTATATTTGTGTACTTATCCGTATGTGACCTACACGGAGACTGATTATACACGATGGCTTTTTTTGCCGAGAAACAAATAAAGATCCTTTCAATTCAATAAGAAAACTCATTACCTCTTGAGTAATAACCATGTCTAAAACAGAAGCAACAGACAGCTTTACCTACGTATCCTGAGATGATGAGTTTAATGTAAAATGAGACGTACGTATAACTTTCCCTCTCCGTGAGTCCGGTCACATGTTCAGTGTAGCTGCTGTTTCCAAACTTGTTCCTGGCGACAACCCTCACATAGTACAGTGTGTCAGAGTTGAGATCCTGGATGGCTGATGTTAAGTAATTCCCACTTCCTGTCTCTGTATGACTCCCTGCTGTCTTCCAGTCCTTCTCATCTGTGCTGTACTCTACAGTGAATGTCTGAGTAGCTCCGCCATTGAACTCCTCCTTCCAGGAAACATGTAGAGTGAAGGGGGCCTTCTGCGGAGACACTGACGTTTGTTGGGGTGCTTGGTGGTCCTGGAAACAGAAAATGTATTGACACAACACTTTCGTATGTATGCAGTTCTGTTAAAGTAATTAATGAACCAGTAATATAGACCAATAAGATTGTATTACAAACACATTAACAGACAATTTATTGGAAATAGGCATAGCAACATAAACATCAAACGTTAAGTTAAGTCAAACTAAAAAACTTACAGGTAGAAATCACTTCGTGTAATATCCTTTTCTGAGAGCACCACTGCCAACAAAGCTAAATATTTGTTGTGACCTTCTAAACAATCAATCTATCTATCTATCTATCTATCTATCTATCTATCTCTATCCATCCATCCATCCATCCATCCATCCATCCATCCATCCATCCATCCATCCATCTATCTATCTATCTATCTATCTATCTATCTATCTATCTATCTATCTATGGAAAAACTTATATAGCGCTATATCCAGAAATAAACTGCTCTGCAGCGCTTGAGACTCTGATGAAAGTTAGTTGTTGTATGCTTCACGGAAGTAATGAGTCTTTAGCTGTGATTTGAATGAATCCAGGTCCTGGTTAGATCTCAGGTGTTGTGGGAGTTGATTTAACAGTCCGGCAATTTGAAAACAACCGCTGGTGATACGACTGGGTTTCAGTGCAGGTGGCTGAAGGAGAAACTGGTGAGAGGATCGAAGAGATCTGACTACATGAATGTGCATGGATACAAATAGAAATATCAAATCTGGAAGCCAAAAGAAGGGATGATGACAGTCATGACAGTTGTTACATCACTGATGAATGAATGAATCGAGAAATAAAAGGAATGGAAATCAGTTAACATTGATATTAGTGTCTCGGGTTAATGTCCGCATGACATCACACATCTGAATATCTGAAATAATTATTAAAGTAGTTTTAGTTTTCAGAGAGTTGTGTGAGAAATCTGATGCTCACTGCTGACATGGGAAGGTCTCACCATATTTGGAGATGACTGGAAGTTAAGAATATTCGTGAAGGGTTGTAATGCATCCCATTGTTGTGTTTAATCTGAACTGAACTGAATGGGGCATTAGAAGTACATGTCTACATCATTATTATGTTCAACGTGTACAACGCTAAATACGTGCATTATACACAAAATGGTAATACATAGATATTGGTTGGTGGCAAGAATAAACTGTGTAAATACACGAATTTATCCATTTAAATGAACAATGTTACTCTCATACGTTATTTGTTTTTCTTGTTTGCTTAAAGTGCGACATTATTATTTTGCACAATATTGCTAATTTTCTAATTGTTCCCAGTATATTGCAGTGAAGATTCTGGTTCATTTTGTGCACATTCAGGTTTCTTCAGTAATAGTTGTGAAAATATTTTTCCCTCGCTATGTTTCCTGTGACCAAGGTAGAGCAAATAAACAAAAAGTGAAATTCATTTTCAATAACGTTTGAATCTTCTCGTTCGTGAACGGAAAAAATCTCATTCTCAAATAAATTGATCTAATAAAATATCTGGCTGACTTGAATGGTGCAGTATCCCTTCATATGTTACATCTTTGGAGTGGTATTAAGAAGTTGGTTTGATGAACAAGGGGATACTTCTATGGATATACAACTTCTATATTACAATACATGTGAAACGTCGCCACCTGTCCTCCACAGGAGTCGGATATGTTGTGGTCGCATCACATAAATCAAATTAGACAATGTGTCTTTCAGTAAAGAGATGCCCATAAACAGACTGAATCATATAACCTTAAAACGAATAGGGCCAAATGTGACATATCTTATATTTGTGATTACACTTTCTCAGTAAAGTACATGTTCCAGTCATTTTGTCCCACCCAGGATTCGAGCCAGGCACCTAATGTGGTATGTTTAGATAATATTATTAATCTGCCGTTATATACGTCATAATTTTCCACATGTTATACTCATGCACAGTGATGAAAGTGACAATGTATTGTTGTGTTTGTAAGCAATTTTGGAGGCTGCTAGGAGCTTCTACTGTCTTTGCTCAGACGCTCAAATTTAGCTTGTCTTTGGTTTCATGGCAAGACCAAGATATGATCAGGAGGCACCCTTCTATTCTGCCCTGTTTGAACGTCTAACTGCAAGGCGAATATTCAGGATACCGTGCCATCTGATGTCTTCTTTGTGAGTCATAATAATATCTTATGAAACATCACATTTGTCAGTGGGTCTGTAATCCATAAGATAGTACATATACACAGTGACAGTCATGCCAGTTTAACCAACCGTCACCGTAAGTCACTATGCTGACAGTATTACCTTCACCATCGTCTACAATGTGTGACACTTATCTTCAGATACAATGCTGAGTGTCCATGCCCCTAAACCCATCTACACCACTGTCCCGTGTAAGAGTGTAGTCCCTTGAAGTGCCGTTGCTGGACATTAGTGGGATGTCATCTTGGAGTATAGCAAGACAATTACATGATGTACTTTCGATATCTGCTATCATCTGTAGGCACAATGTTGACTGTGTATGTCACTGACCCTCAAACATCATTGTCCAATGTAAGACTGTAGTCCCAAAAGTCCTGCTGTTAGAGGTTAATAAGGTGAAGTGATGGAGTATTGCTAGACAATTATACAGTGTACTTTTATATCAACTCTCACCTGTAGACACAATGCTGACTGTGTATGTCACTGACCCACCCATATCATTGTCCACTGTAAGACTGTAGTCCCCGAAGTCCTGCTGCTGGAGGTTAGTAAGGTGTAGTCTGGCAGTGACTGAGATGTCTGAGACAGGGCTGGAGGAACCAGTGAGGTCCTGGCTGGTGCTGATGGATCTACTCCAGGTGAATGTAGGAAGGGGGTAGGCCAGGACTGACACAGACACAGTCACGTTTTCACCACTCTGCCTGGAGGCGTACTTGGAGTTGCTTGGGCACTGTTTCATCTAGTCGAGGAGAACCTGAGGAAACAAAATCATAGCACATCAAATTAATAATGATAATGAAAACAACAGAAAGTGCCTAATGTGAGAGATGAAATTTTTTAAAGTCATAGTCAAAAATGACATTTTCAATACAGCCAGCATGATAGCATCCTGTCATAGCTGGGTATGTTCATACAAGTTTAACCATGTACTTATTACCAAGTATGTGATTAGGATGGCTGACTACATCAGTCTGCCTCTAGTCTGATTACTGGTTAAATTCTATTGCATTACTTATGGTATCCACAGACTTCGGTATCTTATCATGGGGCTACAAAAGAATAAATTTGTATACACTAGTATGAGAAACAAGTCCAAATCCAGGAAGAAAACGCCCTTCTTGTGCAGATGAATCCCTATGAAATACAAGTCACAACCTTGCCCATCACGACACAGCTAATGCCACTGTGTAGAACACAACCAGCATACTCAGGCAGTCCATAGATTGAATACATAGTTGGGGACACCATAGAAACAGGTGTACATTACCCCACAGACACTTTGCCACTGTACTACCTCTACAAGTGGTAGAGGTAGTATTCTGGGAACAGATATTGCTGATAATAATTCCGAAATCTCATGAATACATCCCTCTAACACTTGAATGCTAAATTCCGCACTGACTTATCTCACAAATGCTGCACTTAATGATTTGGTGGACTGTGATGTAGCTCTTGGTTAATGACACCTCACATGATGAGTTCTGATGACATTACTTCTGCTAACATACCGTTAATGATGTCACTGATGACTTCTTTCCTTTTACTCATTAAGCCCGAGAGCCCCATCACTACTCAACACCTGGAAGCCCTCGCTGATTGCCCACTCTCTGTGCCGAGACTAATTAGTGCTAGTCACACCTGATTTCCCTGGCTGGTTTCGGGATCACAGGAAACTGTCTAGTCGTACAAACAAGTCCTGATTGTTTAACTGTGTCGTAAAGATATATGTTGAAAGAAATCAGGTGTGAATACATGTCGTGTATTGCAAGCTTTATGTAATTTTATTGCAAGTTTCTCTTGTAGACCTTTTGTCGGCTTGTACATTTATATTTTATCACAATATGCATACACATGTATTCTTTGTATGTAACAGATGAGACACATCACGTTAACAAATTCTCTCTCTTATATCATTGTGTGAGGTTTATATTTACAAAACATCTATGACAATGACATACTGTAAAGAAGAATTTACTTTCATACTTTATAATCTTCGACGAAAATAGCGGTTTTGCCGATACATTTCTAGTGTTTACGAATTATTTTAATGAAAGTACTATAACGCTAGTCTGTGACTAGCTGAAAAGCACATTCATAGCATTGCACTTTATTTCATACAGATTTAATGCAGAAAACATACGTGACCATACAAAACATACATAGACAAAATGTATACTACATATTCCTTGCATAGACATAAAACAAAGAGTCACGCAATAGGGCGTCATCAAATTTCCCCGAATAGAACGTTCGGTATCCTCAACTGTTCAATGTAGTGGCTGGTCATATGTTATCTGCGACCAATCGTATCATGAGATACCTGTCACAGAGGAAAGGACAGGTGATGGGGCGTGGGCGGAATTTCTACTGAAGAGCACGTTTGGTCACCAGCAGCTTGATAGAGATTGGTTATTGGCTATATCCTTGACCAGTCGATATGCTGGGTTTCGGCTTTATCAACTCAAACTATCATGTAACAGTTTGTGTACTGTAAACATACACACTGGTAACGATGTATGAAATACACACATAAGACAAATAGGAGTAGATAGTCACTTTGGCGAGTTTATTTGTCCTCATTTTAGTGTTTTTGATAAGTAAAACAAAGCGATTGAAATCCAACCACTGAGTAGAGGTAGTATTTATTTTCATATACATTTTATGCACAATAACTAGTACATAAAACATAATGGTTTGCTGTACATGTAAATATAATCTTCACCTTGATATGAATGACTATCCAAACTAGAGTACACGCATTACAGAATTCATGAGGTGACACTATACTGAATTAATATAGTGCATAAACTTGTAGTTGACACCCCACCCCCAATATTTATGAAGGTGGGCGTGCCTATATCTTTACTGAATGCAAACGAGGTTCATAAGATTACAGATGTGCATGCATGTATAAACATCACAGAGAGGGGCGTGACTCCATAAAGCAAGATGTCCAATGATATAACAGCGCATCTGTTTATTTTACACTTGTCACGGGACAAACCTTTCAACAAGGACGTAACTACATATGCATTCTACCGGAGGCTGTTATTTCAAGGTCGAAAGAGGCTTTCAATTATCTCATTACTGTAATCTGCTTGAATGATTATACGCATGTGTATCGATACCGTAACTGATATACTATCCAGCTTTTATTGACGATGGATCAATAGAGACTGAGTTGATTGATACACGTGATAATTGCACCGGATTTGATAATTACACAGATCAAATACAAACGTTTTACAGAATGCTCATGTAAATTGCATAGAAAACTGACAATTCAAATCAACATGAAACTTTCAACAGCTTGAACAAAAATGCTTGAAATACCTTTGTATGGCTTACATGTAATAACTTATGATATTACTTCTGTCCATGTGTGACAATGTTTTGAATTACCAACTTACTGTCTTTTGTAACAAACGTAGTAAAAGATTTCATTGTTGTAATAACACTGACATGTATATATGTATTCGATGCAAAGGCGCGACTTATCACTTTATATTCGCTTAGGTAACATTACAAACTTTAGATTATGGAAAACAACTAGTTACAATTCAGTAAACTTCAAATTAGCAAGTTCAATTATGTTTTATCTATTCGAGCTTGGATGTATAATTACTTGTGTTTATACATTATGTTTCAGTATATGAAACATGACAACGTAATGATGCCTAAAAAGTAAATTCAAACTATTCTATTGTGTTTGAATTCTTTGTATGTCCTTGAAATTTCATATTGTTTCCTATTTATTACAAAGTTGAAGAAAATATTAACTTCAGTTACCTCCGAAACCATTACATCTTAATTCAATCAATGTGCATATGAAGTATTTTAGTATCCATTCCCAATGAAGAGTACCAGACACCTACCTCTGTAAAAACGTCATATAATCCCCTTTCTCGCTGACATGTGTTAATTTGCCAAACGCTGTACAAGCCTATGATAATGATTAGCAATTGCTATCAAAATGCTTTAAATACTTCTTCTGATTGACACTAAAGGTAGCATTTCCTCGTAAGAAAAAGCTAATATTTGCTCCAGTACTACTAAATCGGTTGAAATAATAGGTACATTGCGATTTTTAAAAGTACAACACACATGTGCATATCTCGCTGAATAAGAGGTGCTTTCTTGCTGACGACTGTATGTTGCTCTCGCTGTGAGAAACTGCTAATTACCTGCCCCATAAACACGTCACTCGCTGTGAGGAGCTGATTAATTTGCCCCATATATGCGTCTCTCGGCCTTAATGAGTTAACGGTACTTTGGATGACGTCATGATTATGCCATATCCTCTCTGTATCTCATCCACTCCATGAAGACCAGTGTTATCCCTGATTGGATATGAATACCTTCTAAAGGTTAGCCCTTAGCTACCATTTGAGGCTCTGCAGCAAACGAGGATCACAACAATCAACCTATGTTCCAAACCTAATGTGGTCTCACCCTCGGTGATGACTGTCTTATTCCATTTCCTTACATCTCTTCTTGACAAACAAGCATGTAAGGCCTGGTTGGCAAGCATATTCTCCAAATCATGGAGAAGTCCCTGCTCCTACAATCCGTTTCCTCACAAGAGAAAATCTAGGTGGTAAGGATAGACTTGGCAACAACTATGGACCCTAACTTGTGCAATCCTTGCAAGTCTTGGGCTCCATCTCTCCGATAAAATGTGGTAAATGTGTTTGACAATGCCCACTGACAAGCTGACAAGACGTGTTCAATGATACTGTCTTCCATTAGGCAATGGATGATGCAATGTGGCAGGAGGAACCATTGATAGGTAAGCAATGTTACTCTTGGTTACATCTGACAGACTGTTCCTGGCATGATATCCATACCTGTGACGTTATCGGTTTAAAAGTTTCTGTCATGTTAAGATACCGTTGAGAGCTCTTACTGAGCATAAAATATGTCCAGCAAACTCCTGTCTAGCGTAGAAGCCAGAAAGGGATAGTAAAACACTTGCCCTTGAGGCCACAAAGCAGACTTCTGATTTACCTGCAAGGAAGTCTGTGACTCAAGAGCGATTCTTTTCAATGTAATGGACCTGACATCCCGTGCATGTACCTCTGACACCCTTGAGGCTGTAGTCAGAGCCATCAGGAATGCAGTCTTCCATGGGTTTGAATGAATGGTGTAAAAGCGCTGAAGATGTAAGTCATTTTAAAGATGTATTAGGGCATAGGTAATTCTGTAAATGTGCCATGATGAATTCTTCATGAATGAATGGTGTAAAAGTGCTGAAAACAACACTAACCAATCTTATTTCATAGTTATTTGCTGTTTGGGGATATCCTCCAGTTCTCTTGTAAGATGCACTAACAACCTGGTGCAGGCATGTCTACAGAGGAGCTCTCCCAGCCTGTGAGTGGGTATATATGGCGATCTTGAACCTTTCTATGATGTTTCTCGGGGTTCATCTCTGAACACTAGGTCTGTAGGTGATATGACAAAAAATCTAGAACCTAGATGACGATTTACTCAAAGAAAGATGGGATATTGTTGCTTTTCCAAGGGCTCGTAAAAGTGGTGTAAAAAAGTGCCTAAGATGTATTAGAAATTCCGCAATCATAAGGATAGTTATAGATCCATTGGCAGTTCCTGACTCCTCCTAAAATCTAGCGACAAAAGATGTTATTCGATAGTTTCCATCCGTGTAGGTATAGTTGTAGATTGTGATGGAACTTGTCTGATTTCGGCGGTCTTAGAATTGTTGAGAAAGACATAATTAGAGATCTGTCAGTAAAGAAAGTAGGTCTGAGAACAATGATCGTGTCATCCATGCTGATGTCACCAGGTACATTAACATCAGATGTTCCTGGTCTTGGTCACAACTTGCGGAATAAGATCTGTCGGTGGAAACGCTAAGGCAATCATTCCCTCCCATGATATTGACATTTGCATCCACTGCATAGAGCACAAGGATCTAGGACCATACTTAGATAGATTTGCAAATTATTGAACAGATCTCTATTTTAGGTTGTTTCCATTTCATTGGTATCTGCCTGAAGGAGTGTTCTGAATGAAGTCTTCATTCTGTTGTCCAAATCTTGTCAGGGGCATGGTAGTGCACCTGAATGAATGTTGACTTTCCCTATGTTGACTTTCCCTATGGCCACTATGTTGACTTTCCCTATGGCCACTATGTTGCCTCTAGACTGTCCAAAACGTAGGATCCATAAGCTCTTGAGAGTAAGTGCCTCCCAATCTGATATAGGCAATACTGTGGTGTTGTCCATAGCAACTAGTAGTGATGAGTCCTTGAGTATTGCAGCCCAGTTCCTGATAGCTAATACTACTGCTCACATCTCAGTATGCTGATTTGGGCTAGTGTTTATAGCTCCATCCAACCTGATGCTGTCATGTCTTCTAGATGAGCTCCTCGGGCTGTGATGGCATCCTGATTAGCTTTCCTTGTATGACATTGTCAGGGTTCATCCTCCAGGCAAGGTCCCTGAACACTAGGTCTGTAGGTGTTATGGCAGAGTCTAGCTGTTGGGCTCGATGCTGATTCACTAAGTTCTGAAAGTATCAGCAATGCTTCTGAATGTGAGAGCCTGCACAGATGTAAGTGTTCCCATCATCCATACGTCGAGATTCTAGAGTGGTGAAACAGCCCATACCTCTGCACATTTTGGGCTGCAGCTCTAATTTTTCTGGAACCACCAGAAACCCACAATTTCTGAAGAAATCCCTCAGACAATGTGAGACGTCTAAACGCTTGTCTACATCAACATTTGGAGACAGGGAAATCGTTAAGGCATTCTTCTTTTTGTACCAAAATATACCAGAGAGAATAACCAGATCTGCTGGGTTCAGGTCGACAACAGCTTCCTTGTCTCTGAGTTTGTAGACGCTATCATCGTTGCTGAAAGTTTGGGTTTGTGAAGGTGATATCAAGGTTACACTAGGTGTGTCAGCAAAGAGGTCTCTTTGCAAACTAAGTCAAATACCGCTTTGGCCATACTATCCAGGTAACCACGTAGCGTCTGGGCTATGTTACCTGTAACCTCTAAGCTTATCTGATCATCAGCTGTATCAGATATGTGGCTGGTGATATTGCCACCATCACTCTGGTCAAAATCAGGTTGCAAGAGTAGAAAATCATGCACTATAACTTATGCTGACCAATCAAAGGAGCTTTGAGGGGCCCCTTCTGCTGCATCTAAGACTTAGTTACCCACATGGTCCATATGATATCAATCACCCCTGTGCCTGGTGCGATCATTACGGCTGGTGTACGGCTGGCTGAAATTTCCACCATGACTGAGGACTGATGTAGTCAGCAATGGTTGTTCTAAGTCATGGTGACCTGGCGATGTGCTGTCTAGTTGTGACTTTCCAGTCGTGGCTTCAAAACGTCGGCTTAGGGTGATTGTGGCTGACGGCTCTGGCCTTGACTTAGTGATGAGACCTCGATTTGTCACATTTACACTTTTTATGGTGTCCGATGGTGAGGAAATGATATTCTTAGAGCCATCACATTTACCCATTGTACAGTCAAATCGGAAAATGGAAAGTGTGTTGCTGGGAAGAAATTAATGACAGACAAAAGCGAAAAGCAAAACTGAATGAAGGACACTGGCAGGACCAACATTTTCGCTCGTATTGGAGTTCTATTGACATGTGGACATCTTAAACAGAGCATGGTGGATGTTTTATTGTATGCAATGTAAATGGAGGTGTAATCTGAGAGGAATACCCGAAACATGTGAATATCAACAATACCAGAAAGTAAGGTCACCATGACTTCGCCACCAGTCTAATTGTCACACAGTTCTCAAATAATGATTGCTGTGATTGTATGAACCACCACTTGGGGGACAACATCAGTACCTGGGAAGCCATGGGTACAGCACTGATAATATCTAATCTAATCTCGTCATCATACCGGTAATCAAGCATAAAATTCTCAGTATTGGTATCCTTTGCAATTCTTTTATGGAGTGTCAGCATTAATTTCTGCATATTTCGAACACTAGAATCTTCGATGGAGTTATATCCTTGTGGGTTGTCACAATGTTTGATGGCACTGTCCTGGTAATAAGCAGAGAGGTCTTGCATTGTAATCCATAATGACTGGCACGGGGGTGGTAATCAAAATGTAGCATCTTGTACTCCCTGTTGATAAAGTTTACCATACGGCACGGTCATCACCCTCACTGGTCCTTATCTGTCACCCTTGAAGCCCATTTTTGGTGTCCCCGCCTTGATATTGCTGGAATATTGCTAAAAGCGGCGTGAAACCAAACTCACTCACTCACACCTCTGTCACCCAGGTCTTGGACAGTCCTCTACTACCTCACTGGTGGCCACATGCTTCTTCACAAGTTGGCTAATATAGTGGAAACCGCCTAAGTAAAACCCGCTTAACTAAACAGACCAGATAAGTTGTAGTTGGTGATGTTGTTCAAGCATCAATGACAGGAATATCCCCGCTTCAATAATTTGGTGAGTGAGTGAGTGAGTTTAGTTTGACGCCGCTTTTAGCAATATTCCAACAATATCACGGCGGGGACACCAGAAATGGGCTTCACATATCAATAATTTAGTAGTGCACATAATCATAGATCAAAGTGCTTGGCGCTTTTGCTGCACGTGCAACCCATAGCTTTTGATAGGTGGTGCTTAATTGATGATCATGTGTATATGGTCATACCCTTTTGACATTGCCTTATTCCTTTTACATGCACATTCTTTTGCTAATGTGCATGTACAACATTATGGCTGCCAGTGATACATTCAACCAACGTTTTGACCATGTCTGGGCCTTTAAGGCCCATACTATACAGCGTAAGAAATATAGAACAGGTTAACATATATTCATCATTATGTGCTTGTTTATAACCATATTTAGTCCTTTCTTCATTTTTATCCATTGAAACAGGTGGGAGAAGTGTTTGTATATATATTTGCAAACTTCGATTTTCACACAGACAGTTGCTGATATCAGTTCAAAGTAAATGCATTGCAGAATACAAAACGTCATCATGGTGACTATTGGCAGCTGTGCGACATGTTGAACATAACCCATCGTCATCATTGTTCATAATACTAAGAATACATCCTCTATTACACCTGTTAAAATCTGAATTTCAGTTATAGTGATACATCAGTCACAAATACATGATTATGGAATGATTTATATAGGTAGAGGTTATATAAAAATAATACCTACATTTGACAAGCAGCTCCACCCTCTGGGTGACAGGTGCCCCGATGTTGTTGGTGGCAGTACAGGAGTAGTTCCCTCTTTGTCTACAGTCTGCTGACTCCAGTCTGTATGTTGCTGTCAGGGAGTTATCTGCCCTTGTCAGCTCTTCAGTTCCATTCAGTAACCTGATGACTGATTTGGGATTACTGTCAACCTGGCAGCTCAAGGTGGCTTGATCCGATTCGCTAACAGTCACTGAACGACTGAGCGAGTTGATCATAAACATACTTATATTGACAGGATCTGAAACAAAAACGCAATGGACTATTAAAATGAAAAACACCAGCTTTTATTAACACATAAGACACCCTTAAAATGTTGGTGTGGTTTGCAAAAGATAACTTCCATTTTGATAACACAATCAATCGTTGTGATAAACAGCTGTATAAAGGAACAGTGTGTTTCATTCGTAATTCTCCGAGAAAAACTGTCTGAATTACTGCAAATATAGAAATGGCTCCATCAGCATTTTGTTTTCATTCTAATTCAACATCATTTTAACTGAATTCAACCTTCCAACCACAGGGCTCATCCAAGTGAAGTCATACTGTCACACCATACTGTGTAATAGTGACCTTGACCATTCAGTGAGATGTGAGATAAAACAGTTTACTATAATTTTCAACATTCTTTGCTTTCTGAAGAAAAGGTGTTCAAACAAGCCATGGTAGACTTAATTTCATCAAACACACAAAGTTAAGCTTCACTGGTCCTATAGTTTCCAATGAAACATAAAACAGAGTGTGCATATTGACAATACGTATTCCTAATACAGGACATTTACAATCCAAAACACACACTCACGTGATAACGTCTACATAGATTGACATAGGCACTGGAAGAAACCTTATATGTGCTTGAAAAACATGGAAAGGTATTTAAGTTTTGCAAAGAGATGAGCATTTGGAAGTTGGGTATTTTGGTCTTGCTTCCAAGGGGAAAAACTCTTCACTCTTCGAAAAAATAAACTATTATCTGAACAAATAATCGATTACAGTTTAGAGTCTCTACTTGGATACACATAACTTTAAGACGAACCAATATCAGGTTCTGATAAGACGTACAGGAAAGTCTTCTGTTTAACTTTCTAGACACAATGTCTTGAATCAACAGTTTAAGTTTCAATATCAGTTATTGTCATTCATGTCTGATAGCTTGTCCAAACTTGTGTCCATGGAAATCGCGAAAAATATGTGAAAAAAAATCTGACAAAAAAATCTGTAATTTTAGGTTCTGTTATTCATTTATGTCTACCTAGTTTTGTTGAGATATTTTGAACGGTTTCCGAGTTGTGCTCTGGAAGCAAAGCCCACCAAGAATCAGGCTCTATCAAGGATCGACCAAGGCCAGGGCATCCAAGGAAGACCTCTAGTGAAAGATCGCACTCTGGCCTGTTGCATCAGTGGTGAACCCTTTTCTCAACGAGCACACCTCTGAATCCACAGACGTTTGTGCATAGCCATCTCAAAGTTCCTAGTTTAAGGTCCAGATTAGGTGTCAAATTCTTGATGTAACTCATTTTACATCAAAGGCAAAAATCTGCATTGGTGTCTAAATCTTTGGTCCTTGAGACGGATCCATTTGTAAGACAAAAGCAGGTCCCTGCTTCATGTATAAAGGTCTTCTGAGAGTTTGGAGGTGCATTAAGACTGATTATGTGTCCAGGTACATTCATCCTACTGTTCCTTGCTGTGTCCCTCCATGATTGTAAACTGACATTGGTGGCTGTATGGAGAAACATCACATCACATCACATCACATCACATCACATCATCACATCACATCACATCACATCACATCACATCACATCACACCACATCACACCACATCACATCACACACCACACCACACCACACACATCACATCACATCACATCACTGACATTCTTGATCAAGTTGTTGTGTCTCATTTTGATAAAACCCCATTGGCTTCCCACCCCATATCCATGGACAGAAACGCCGGACCACATCATTCCAGCATGGTGGGAGAGTTCCCACGAAATAATCCTAACTCTTAATTGGGTCTAAACAAATGCTGTAACAGTGACAGTTTTGGCAATTTGTCACAGTCATATGCATTGTATTAACAGGTATTTAGTAAGCAGAACAACAACTAAATGTTAACTGAGCTCTTCCAAATCCTGGTTCATTCTCAAAACATCGTTGAAAAGTTAAAACAAATGTTTACAGAAAATGTTGCAAAAACGTTTCATAACTTTACAATTTCACGTGGATAAAACATCACCAAAAATTTCACAAAATGGTTTTGAAACAATTTCATTTTAGCTAGGCATCTGTTTGTTGATGTCAACCAAATCTCTAATCCTTGCATTCTGGAGTTGTGGCTTCTTGACCAAAATGTAGGAATCCTCATCAACTGAGTGCAGTATGAGGCTTTATGGTTCTTATGGAGAACTTTGTTTCTCACGAGTCTTATGTTGTGCACAAAGATATAGAAGCAGCAGATTTGGAGATGGAACAACAGTGAGCCTGTCATGTAACACCAGCTTCACAGTAACCATAATCCTAGTTGGACATATAAGGAGGACGCACACACATGAAGCCTGGAATCACTTGTACCTGTTTCAACACATCTGGTATCAAACTGATATCTGGAGTGGTTGGAGAGTGGTATTGATACATATGCCTGTGATGTGCAGTCTATGATCTATATGGTACCTTGCAGTTTTAAAGCAACACCCTGCTATGAAAACAATGAAGTTATAATGAAATAAACCAAATTTATCCTGGGTACATAATATATGGACAAACCCAGGATAGAGTAAAGTCAAGAAATTATGTTTTTGTCA